GATTACTTGGTATTGAGGTTGTTTGATCGTGTTTTCGCAATTTGGTCATATTGGTGGGAAGGCTTAGAGGAACGCACCTAGTCCGAAGTCCATTGTATGCATGATCATTTCCAAAGTCGTACCGTGGACGTGCTACATTCCCAGACGTTTCGCCGGCATCGTAGTCGGCATCGTCAGTTAGTTTTGCCATTGGTAGCACCACAAAACAACTCGTCAAAAAGACAAGTAATCTTATCCTTTGACCAAACGTGTGCTTAACAGTTGTGGTATCTCCCCTTCTGCACTAAGCTATTTACATTTCCTATATTCTCCTATCATCCTTTCCCTCTTACACTTTTTACCGTGCTTATTTGATGTAATGTTTATAATATGTATTTGCCCTATTTCGTATAAAGTGGTAAGGGGACTGGTATTTGAAGTTTCTCACAATAATATGTGTAGACCTTACGCGTCCATTGAATTTCACATAGCCTTGATTTCCCAAAAGGTATTCTGATCCAAGACGGACTGCAGTTTCGACCTCGCTTAGGGTTTATTAATATCCCCTTCATCATCTCTAATTAAATAGAGTGAATACAACTAATATAACTCGAAATTCTGTTTATAAACTAAAATATAAACTACTTTGCCTAAAATATATGTCGATTGAACGCGGTTTTTCTTACGCGGAGGCTCGACCGTCTTGTACGATAGCAGATGCAGAAGAAGGATGGGACGTCGTATGAGTTTAGTATGTTTTAGAAGATGGCCACTGATGACGCTTGCTCAAGCTCCAAGAGAGTTTCTGACTCAGTTGATGATACTACATTGTCACGGCAAGGGACTCTAATATCCAGATTAGTTAGACATCAAAATTTTTACGGTCATAAGCCGAAGCTGTTGTTTAAGAGAGTAGATAATGACAGTGAACGTTGAGGAGAGCTGATCACCACAAAGGACTCAGAGCCCTAGAGAATTCGCTAACTCTAGAGTTCCTTCTACTTAAAACACTTGCGGGATTTTAATTTTAACTTTATTTTGGTTCTAAAAGATCCCGA